TACTATATATCACACATTTAGGGCTTGTCTTCACTGTACTGTTAGCTCAAGTTAAAATTCGAGTTTTGACCCACACCCAACTTCCATCCATAACACAAATCTCTAGCTCGACTTAAGTGCTTTAGGCTTGAGCTAGCTGGACTGGCAAGGAGGTGGGTTGGAAATCGAGTGCTACTGATGCTCAAGATAGCAGTGGGGATTCAAGAGCTGGAGTTATAGCTCATCCAATCATTCTGTAGTGCAAATGTTGTTTCACAGCATGATCACTCTCACTTGAGCTAGACTAGGTCAAGCAGAGTAACTCAAGTGTACTAATGTTAACTGTTGCAGTAAAAACAAGCCCTTACAGCAAGTATTGGTTATTTCCATCTTTCATGTTTTTAATCAACATCTCCGAAGCCTGTTTGTAAACCTGCCTATGGAGTAGACAAAAACTTAGCTCTCTCCTGTGTCTGCAACAATCATTAATTAGCTTAAGAAGGGTAAAAATCTTTCACTTAGTATGATATATTGAATTAAGAAATCTTTGGTTTTCTTCTTACCTGTCAGAATCTGAAAATTTCCTTTGCCAAAAATAAACTTCTTCTCGGGAGTTTTTGTAGACAGAATTATTTTATCTAAAACTGTCCAATTATGAAGAGTGTTTATTAGAGCAACAGCTTCAGCGATCTGTAATTCAGCTTTAATATTAGAAAAAGAAAAAAGGTTATAGTATACAGTCCTAACTCTGCACACAGATTTCCAACATTTGCAATAAGAACATAAACAGTGAGGCCTGGTCTACACTTAAAAAAGTTTTGCCAGCATAGCTCTGCTGGTTAGGAATGTAAAAAAATTATAGCCCTCACCAACTTAGATAGGACAGCAAAAGCCCTAGATTAGATGTAGTTATACCAGCAAAAAAGTCCTTTTCATTTGAGGAATAGGTATAAACTATATTGGCAAAAAACCTGCACAGATTAACAAGGAAATTACATAGTTATTTGCATCAACATTGTATTTCAGTCCTAAAAGGGTTACTATCATAATTTTTGTTTAACCCTACTTACAGAAAAGTGGTGGGAAAATTGTGATAGCAAAACAATGTTAACGCCTTACTGCTTTGTAGAAATATTTAAAGAACTTCTAGAGTCGTTCACATTGTTCCCGACATCATCAGTGATGCTGGTTCATAAACAGAACAACAACTGGCAGCCATACTGACTCCTGCTTTACTAGAAACATAAATAGATTTCAAACGGTTCACAACCATCCTCTTCGTCTTTCTGGCTAGACAGAAGGAAGAGAGTGCAAAACTTTCTTTTGTTTGTAACATGAGATAATGGTACAGAAATGGTTGAGAACCACTGACCCAGTTTGTTTTATGTGTATCTTAGTATATCTAGTAGTTTTGAAAACAGCACTTCCGAAAACAGTTCACAACACAGGTTGTGGCCGGCAACATTGACAAATAGGATGTTAGGGATCATTAAAAAGGGGATAGAGAATAAGACAGAATACATTATTGCCCTTATATAAATCGATAGGACGCCCACATCTCGAATACTGAGTACAGATGTGGTCTCCTCATCTTAAAAAAGATATACTGGCACTAGAAAAGGTTCAGAAAAGGGCAACTAAAATTATTAGGGGTTTGGAACGGGTCCCATATGAGGAGAGATTAAAGAGGCTAGGACTCTTCAGCTTGGAAAAGAGGAAACTAAGGGGGATATGATAGAGGTATATAAAATCATGAGCGATGTGGAGAAAGTGGATAAGGAAAAGTTATTTACTTATTCACATAATACAAGAACTAGGGGTCACCAAATTAAGTTAATAGGCAGCAGGTTTAAAACAAATACAAGGAAGTTCTTCTTCACGCAGCGTGCAGTCAACTTGTGGTACTCCTTACCTGAGGAGGTTGTGAAGGCTAGGACTATAATAGCGTTTAAAAGAGAACTGGATAAATTCATGGTGGTTAAGTCCATTAATGGCTAGTAGCCAGGATGGATAAGGAATGGTGTCCCTAGCCTCTGTTTGTCAGAGGATGGAGATGGATGGCAGGAGAGAGATCACTTGATCATTGCCTGTTGGTCCACTCCCTCTGGGGTACCTGGCATTGGCCCTGTCGGTAGACAGGATACTGGGCTATATGGACCTTTGGTCTGACCCGGTACGGCCGTTCTTATGTTCTAATTTAGATAAACTTCCTATGAGTGAGATAAATTGAAATTAGGCTGAAGAATAGTCTCCCAAAGAAAGTGGTGGAAGTCCCATAATTTGTGCCTTAAAGTTATACTGGACAAAGCAGTTTCCTCATCAAATTGACTGCACTGGTTGAGGCACAAGTCTACTAAAGTGGCAGTGAAGGGATGATATCTGAAAATCACTAACAGCTGTTACGACCATATTAGAAACATTCCAATTAATAAGACTGGTAAAGAAGAGGACAAGGAATCAAATGCAAATGTAAAATACCCTAAACTATATGCTCTCTAGTGCTTTCTATTACAGATTTCTGCAGGACAGGAGCATTTGGAGTGGTGTCACCCAAGACAAAACTCCTTACTATCCCAGAGAGACTGACATATCTATAACTAGCTGCAGTTGTGGAGAAATGAAACCAGACACAACTCAGTATGCCTTATCAAAGCCCCAAACCTGGAAACATCCATTTGCTTAACATTAAGCACATTAGCAACCCCATGAGACTATTCATGTAGGGGCTTATCTTCAGTGCCTTGTTAGCTTGAGGTATAATTTGAGTGTTGCCCCTACCTTGACTCCTGTGCACACACAAAAATCTGTAGCATGAGTTAAGTGGTGCTTTAGACTTGAACTAACTGGACTGTTGGAACATTTGTCTTGAAACTCGAGTGACGCTGATGTTTGAGCTAATAATGTAATGGGGACTCAGTTACTCTGTGTGGCCTGAGTGCTGTTTTGCAGCAGATAGCCTAGCATAAGTTGGAGTGGTTATGCTGCAATCTCAGTCAAATTGAGTGCAGATAACTAGAGCTAACACTGAAGTGAAGACAAGCCCTGAATAAAGTTGAACATGTCCATAAGTGTTTTTAGAATCAAGACTTAAGTTTGCAACAAATCATTGTCAATGTGGCATTAAGTATTTAAAAGGGGGAACATACATTGATCTAGAACTGTTGGCCATTTTGACTTTATATCTTGATAATGTGAAAGAAATATATAGCAAACTCTTAAAAAACATAAATTGTTCTCTGGTTGTTTGCCAAACATTCCTGCTTGCCTCCCAAGTTAAAGTTTATATTTAGAATTATAGAATCATGGACATGTAAGACTAGAAGGGACCTTGAAAGCTCATCACATCTAGACCCTTACCGTGAGGCAAGCCTAAGTAAACCTAGATCAGCTCTGACAAGTGTTTGTCCAACCTGTTCTTAAAAACCTCCAGTGATGGAGAATCCACAATCTCACTTGGAAGTCCATGCCAGAGCTTAACTACCCTTATAGTTAGATTTTCCTAATATCTAACCTAAATCTCCCATGGTGCAGATTAAGGCCATTACTTCTTGTCCTACCGCCTGTAGAGATGGAAAACAATTGCGCATTGTTCGCTTTGTAACAACATTTAACATACTTGAAGATTTATTTAAATCATGAAGATCCTGAAGAAGCTTTAAGAGTGAACTGAGCAACAACTGACATGATAGGATGGACACACAAGCATTTTTCATTACACAGAGGCTAAGTTAGTAAGGGTATGTCCGGATCGGCGGGTAGCGATCGATTTATCAGGGATCGATTTATCGCATGTAGTGTAGACACGATAAATCGATCCCCGATCGCTCTCCCGTTGACTTCTGAACTCCAGCAGCGCGAGAGGTGGAAGCAAAGTTGACGGGGAACCGCGGCCGTCGACCCAGTGCCGCGAGGACACAAAGTACGTAATTTTAATTCGATCTAAGATATGTCAACTTCAGCTATGCTATTCTCATAGCTAAAGTTGTGTATTTTAGATCGATCCCCCCGTGTAGACCAGGCCTCAGTCTACTGTGCTACAATCTGTCAAGTGTGAGTGTTTGAGTAGTTAGCTTTGGAGAAGTTCCCAGCTCCACTGCAAAAAAAGGTGAGTGTTGTATTTCAAGATAGCGTAAAATCCTCACAAAGACAAGGCACGGGCAGTTTTCACCTTGAGGAAACGACTCAAGGTAAATCCCAGGTGGGGGAGTAGGGTCCCATGTCAGCCCGCTACATCAAGGTAAAAACGACCTGTGCCTTCCCTCCACTGGGATGTTACCCTAAGGAGGGCGCATCTCCCCGCACAGAACACCTTGCTGCAGGGAAAAGAAAGAGCCAGAGGATTGGGGGGGGGCCCGAGGCTGTTACCCCGATCACTGGGGACCGTGGGGGGCGGTGGAGGGGGGAGTCCCACGCACCTCACCTGTGGTGAGTTGGGGCTTTTTCGCTCCCCACTTGACGGCCGGGTGCACCACGAGCAGCCGCTGGGCCCCGGGAGGCGGCCCTGGGGCCAGCAGCTCCTCCAGCTCCGCTTCATCACCATCCTCCTCCTCCTCCTCGCTGTGCGCCGCCCCCCTCCCGCGCCCCACGCTCCGGGGCGGCTCCCCCTGGCCCGGCGGCCCCAGCGCGGCGCGGAGGCACCAGGCGCCCCCAGTGCTGAGGAGCCGGGCGCGCGGCCGGGGCAGCAGCGGGCACAGCCTCCCGGCCGCTGCGGCGCGGAGCCCCCGGGCGCACAGAGCGGCGGCCCCTCGGAGCAGGAGCCCGGACCCCATCGCCCGCCCTGGTACCGCAAGAGGGGCAGAGCCCGGCGCTCGGACGCCGTTAGGCCTGCGCAAGGGGTACGTGCTCGTGCTCGCGCTCCGCTTCCCACACACGTTCCGCGGCGCGCCCCAAGCTCCGCCCCCTCGCTGCTTCTTTTGGGCGGGGTCTGTTTTCTGGTTGCGCGGGGCTTTGACTGCCGGGATGGGCCCGCGGGAGTGACGGCTCGACTGCGTCACGTGATACTCAGCCGCACTCCGGTAGGCCGACTTGGCGCACGCGCTCTCGGGTACCAATGGATTGGGGCCGCTTGAGTGGTCGCCGCCGTGTTTGAGGCCGGGGCGTGTGCGGCGCGGGATCGCGCAGTGTCTGGGTAGCGCGCGCGGGTGTTACGGGCTTGTGTTCTAGAGCGTCGGGGTGAGTCTTGTCCTTTATGCTCCCCCCCGGAGGGGCTGTCCGTACCTCCTGCCCATGTATTGCCTTGGCACCCCTGCGCTGTGCTGCGCCTCTCTCGCATCCCATCCCCCTGTGCTACACTGTACGGCACCCCTCTTGCACTGGATTTCCCTGCTCTGCGTTGCAGTGTACTGCATCCCCTCTTGCATTACAGCTGTGCTGCAGTGCTCTGCACTGAACTCCTTCTGCTCTGCAACCTCCTGCACTACAGTGCAACCCTTTACCATATCCGTCTTGCGTTGCAAACCAGCTGTGATACAGTGAGCACCCTCTACACTGCAGACTACTACTGCACCCTGTCATGCATTTTGAGCCCGGCTTTGCTATGCTGTATTTCACCCTTTTTCACTGCACCAAGGTCCACCTTTACAGTCAGTTGTATCCCTTTCTTTGTATTATATCCTTGCAGCCCCAAAATGACTAATTGGTCATGTTATCTGCAATGCCCAAGGATTATGTCTCATTCAGTGGAGGGATACCTGCATATTTCCTGTGTTCTCTGTAATGGTGCAGTGATAAATATGAACCCACAGTATGTCCTCTAGTTACCTTTTAAAACCCCGCTTGATCTGTAGGACTGTTCATAGGCGCTAGATGCTTGCTGCTATCGCCACCTTACCCTCACAATCCATTATTCTTTTATTTTGAAGTCACTACCCTTAAAATGGTTTGCTTTTTTGGCTTTCTCTTTTAACTTGATTATAGAAGATTTGCCTTGCTAACCTCTAGCCATTCTTTTTCTTGACAGGTTTCTCTGACAAGAACCAAGGAAGTGGAGTTTAGTTTCTGCTGCTCTTATTTAGGGTTACCATAGTCCCGGTTTCCCCAGAAAAGCCTCTTTTTTGAGCCTGATTTCCCTGTCCCAGCGGGGTTTTCAAATAACAGCAAATGTCCCGGATTTTGCAGAGCAGAGAAGCTGCAGTTCAGAAAGAGCCACAATTGATCAACTTCCCAGTTGGTCCATCCCCTGTATCCACTGCTGATTGGGCCATTCCCTTGCATCCGCAGCTGACTGGTCCTTTCCCCTGCAAGTCACAGCTGCTGAATCCTGCCCACCTATGCCCCCTTGCCCTGCTCAGCCCTGGGGAAGGGATCTCACGGGGAGGTGCTGACTGACAACTGTCACTGTGTCCTGGGCTTGTGCCAGCCGCCCTGCCACTGTGACAGGGAGTGACACTGCTCCCCCATCTCCTGTGAGTACCCCTGCTGCAGGTACGCCCCCTTCTGCTTCCCTTCCCTCCCCTCCCATTCCCTCCACCCCCTGCAGTGTCTGCTTTTTGGGAACTTGAAATATGGTAACCCTACTCTTATTCCCATTCCTGGCGAAGTTTCCTGAAAGTGGTGTGGATCATGTTAACTTGTTTTTTATTCTGCTGAAATGATGTAACGGAAATGATAGCCAAACCCAACACAGCCACTAACCTCCCCAGCCAAAAGTAAGTCCTGACAATGAGGAGTTTCTAAAATACATTGGTATTTTGGTGAATTGCCCTTGTCTAATGACTCCTGCAGTCACTGGGTGGATCCATGATTCATGGCTTTGGGGGATTCTCTCTACTGATTATATGCTGTACTAACTCCTACTTTTGTTGCCTCATTGATTACCTCCTCCCTTCCTTGAACGATTCAAAGTCTAGTTTGATCTGCCTAAGTTATTCCATGACTTTCGGCCCTCATTGATTTCAGGCAGAGTCTGCCTGCCCTGAAAAATTTGCAGAATCTTGACCTAAATGATTTGTTCCCTTTATTGTTCCCTTATAAGCAGGCCACGAAAGAATTTGAGAAGCAACTTTCTAAAGATACACACACTAACAGTAAGAATTTTTTAAAGTACACCAGAAGCAGGAAGCCTGTTAAACAGGCAATGGGGCCACTATATGACTGAGATATTAAGGGAGTACTCAAGGAAGACAAAGTCACTGCAGAGAAGCTAAATGAATTCTTTGTTGCAGTGTTTGCTGCATAAGAGGTGGGAGAAATACCCACATCAAAGCTATGCTTTTTGGGTCACAGGTCTGAAGTATTATCCCACAGTGATGTGTCAGTAGAAGAGGTTTTAGAACAAATTGATAAATTAAACAGTAATAAATCACCAGGACCAGATGGTATTGACCAGAGAGTTCTGAAGGAACTCAAATATGAAATTGCAGAACTGTATTGTTACAACCTATCGCTGAAACAAGCCTCTGTGCCAGATGACTGGAAGGTAGCTAATGTAATGGTGGTTTTTAAAAAGGGCTCCATGTGCAATCCTGGCAATTATAGGCCTTTTGGTGTAATTTCAGCACCAGATGAAATAATTGGTAGGAACTATAGTAAAGAATAGTATTATCATAAACATAGATGAACACAATATGTTGGGGGGAAGAATCAACATTGCTTTTGTAAAGGGAAGTCATGCATCACCAATCTATTAGATTCTTTGAGGGGTTGAAAAACGCGGACATGGGTGATCTGGGAGGTATAGTGTACTTGGATTTTCAGAAGACCTTTGGCAGGGTCCTTTACCATTACCAAAGGCTCTTAAGGAAGCTGAGTAGTCATGAGGTAACAGGAAAGGTCCTTGCATGGATCAGTAACTGATTAAAAGATAGGAAACAAAGGATAGGAGTAAATGGTTAATTTTCAGAATGGAGAAAGGGAAATAAGGATCTGCACTTGGACCTGTGCTGTTCAACATATTTCTTTTCCAGATCATCAATGGAATGAACAGTAAAATGGCAAAGTCTGTAGATAATCCAAAATTATTCAAGATAGTTAAGTCTTGAAGAGCTAGGCTATGTCTACCTTACCAAGTTAAGTCGACTTAAGTTACGTCGACGATCATCTACTGCTGTAATTAAACTACTTTTGCACTTGCACTCCTTGTGATGGTGGAGTGTGTCCACAGTTGGTGCTCTTGCATTGACAGAGAGAGCAATGCACATTGGGTACCTATCCCACTGTACAATTCGCCACCATTTGCCCCTGGATGCTCTGGCAAGGGATCACAGTGCCTTAAGGGGGCGGGCTCACTGTCCCATGATGCAGTTTTCTCCATCCCATCATTCTGTGGGCTTCTGACTATGTTTCGTGCCACTTTTCAACCACCCCTGTAAACTGCATGCCCACCATCTCTGTCTCAAAGCATAGATCCTACACTGCTCTGCAGTCTTGTGATGAGCATTCTGAACACAACACAGCTGATCCTGCAGTATTTCATGGACTGTGAATCTGATAATGACACCGTGGTGTCTGCCCTGCTGCGTGCCATGGAAAGAAACAATTCAAGATTGCTGTTGGCATTCATGGAGCAGCTGCACACGGACCATCAGTACTGGGCTTGGTGGTATTGCATTGTGATGTAGGTATGGGATGACAAGCAGTGGTTGCAAAACTTTCAGATGCACAAAGCCACCTTCCTGGAACTGTGTGTGGAGCTCACCCCCGTCCTCCGGCACAGGGACACTAAAATGAAAGCTGCCCGCAGGGTGGAGAAGTGAGTGGTGATTGCTGTGTGGAAGCTGGCAACTCCAGACTGCTTCTGATCAGTCGCGAATCAATTGGCGTTGGAAAGTCCACCGTGGGGGTTGCAGTCATGCAAGTGTGCAGGGTCATTAATCGTCTCTTGCTATGAAAGACTGTGATTCTGGGCATTGTGCGGGAAATAGTGGATGGCTTTGCTTCAATGGGATTCTCTAACTGTGGTGGGGTGATAAATGGCACGCATATCCCTATTTTGGCCCCTGACCACCTTGTGATGGAGTATATCAACAGAAAGGGCTACTTTTCTACTGTATTGCAAGTGCTGGTGGATCCTCTAGGTCGTTTCACTGATATCAATGCAGGGGGTCAGGGAAGGTGCATGTCGCACACATCTTCAGGAATGCTGGCCTATATAGAAAGTTGAAAGCAGGAACTTTCTTTCCAGACTAGAAGATTCCAATTGGAGATGTGGAAATGTCAGTTGTGATCCTGGGAGACCCAGCCTACCCCTTGTTCCCATGGCTCATGAAGCCTTCACTGGAAACCTTGACTGCAGCAAGGAGTGCTTCAACAACATGCTCAGCAGGTGCAGAATGGCTGTTGAATGTGCCTTTGGCAGATTAAAGGGTCACTGGCGCTGCCTTTTTGGCATTTTAGATTTCAATGAGGAAAATTCCCATGATCATAGCAGCCTGCTGTGCTCTGCATAACATTTGAGAAGTTAAGGGGGAAAAGTTTCCGCAGGGGTGGAGCGTTGAGGTAGATCGACTGGCAGCTGCTTTTGAGCAGCCAAATACCAGGGCTGTTAGAGGGGTTCAATGGGGGGTGGGGAGTGGGCTATTCGAATCAGGGAGAGTTTGCAGGAGCATTTTGAGAAGGAGCCCCAGTAATGTGTTTTTCTTTAATGCATTGAGCCAGGCATTGCTTTCCTTCATGGTAGTATGAGCCTTTTAATGATTTCCGTGTGTGCATTAATTGTAGTCTGCTAATGCACCGATTACCAGTGTGTATGAATTTCAGCAGCAACCACCATGTGTTATAGGCAAATAAATATTGGTTTTCTTTTTATATGTACATTTTTATTCATCAGCTATACAAGCATTTCTGTTTTCCAGAAAGGACGTGATACTGAGGAGTGCTTTTTGAAATGAAGCTCTCACAGCTGGGTGTATGTCCAGCTGTCATTGTGAAACATATCCCAAAGGGTGGAATGCATGGGGTACTGTGATGGCCGAGGAATGTGTGCGTGGAGTTTGGGGAGGGAATGGAAGGAAGTTCTGTATAGGCTGCAGGGGGATGTGAGCACCTGTGTTCCGCCTGCAGTGTAGTCAGGGACCTCAGCATGTCTGTTTGGTCCTCCGGCAGGTGTATCATCTGCTCCTGCCCGTTTCCTCTCCTGGCTACCCATTTTCAGTTTTTCAGTCTCTCTCCATGCTCTTTGCTCGCTATAAGTAGCATCAGATGATGCAACATCTCCCTGAATGTTTTCCTTACTCCTCCTGGTTTTTTTATCAGAGAGAACTGCTCAGCCAGTGTTCAGGAGGAGATCTTCAAGAGAACATCTGCAAAAGCTAAAGAAACGATAGACAGTAGCACTATTGTGAGTGCACTCACAGCCTTGATTCATACAAGTTAGATACACCACTTTCTCACTTTCCCTTAGCAGGTACACAGCATGGCAAGAGCCCTAAGGATGAGTTCGGCCTGGAGTGGGGGGGAAGGGGCAAGATGGGAGAAAGGGTGGGGTTCACAGGGGTATCAATAGAAGCACCTAGGGCCACTATTATGAATACTGGCACCGTTTTATACAGTCAGGGTTGATGATAGCCGACACCTCACTCTTGAGGGTAACCAAGGATGCAAGGATGCAGCTCCTGCATGCATGCAACTGCAGACTGGGTCTGTATGCTGCTTGCCTGTGTGCTGCTTTGATGCCTGCACAGGTAATTGCTGATTGGCACAGCAACTTTCCTACTGTGGGGGAAGAAACAAGGCTGCCCTCCCAAGGAACCTTAAGCAGAGGATTGCAAAGTACCTTCAGGAAAGTTGTATTGGTTATTTCTATCCCTCTTCTACCCTGAGGAAAAAAAGCAGAGGGCTACCTCATGCAGTATCAAAGCACAATGGATACTTACCGGAGCTTCCCTTTTCTGTGTCATGCACACCAGAGCTGGAGTGCTGAGACTGGCTAGACTACTCCAAAGTTAAAAAAGAGGCCCTGGCTCACCACACCAATGGACGTCCCAGTTGCCTGTCCCATCGCCTCCTCCAACTCCACTTCATCATCCACCACTTCATCCTTAGGGTACAATCTGCTGGTTGCTGTCTCCAGCCCCCCTAAGTATACATGGGGCTCTTGGTGGTGAAGGTGGGGTCGCCACTGAGGATGGCATGCAGCTCCTTGTAAATAAATGGCATGTCTTTGGCAATGCACCAGACCGACAATTGGCCTCCTTTGCCTTCTGGTACGCCTGCCTCAGCTCCTTGATCTTAGCATGGCACTGCTGCATGTCCCTTTCATGCCCCTTCTCCTCCATGCCACAAGCAATCTGTCCATAGGTATCAAAGTTCCTATGCCTGGAACAGAGCTGTGATTGCAAAGCCGCCTCTCCTCAGACTCAGCAGATCCAATAACTCTGGTGTACTTCAGGCGGGAGAGCGTTTGCTGCGGAAAGCCAGCGTGGTCAGCTGGAAAGATACTATGTGAGCTGTCCGTGCCGAAAAACAGGAAGAGGAATTTAAAGGAATTCCTGGGCCTTTAAAGAGAGAGGGATGCATGCATGTGTACCTGGCTGCAGGGCAGCAGAGTTCAAACTGGTGACCAAAGTGGCCATGATGGGCATTGTGGGACACACACTGAAGGCCATGTATGGTGACATAACACAGTGTCTAACTGACAGTGTGTCGCTCTAACTTTGTCACAAGAAGCTCTATGCCTCTCGTCCAGGTGATTTTATTATGTTGGCATTGCAAGAGAGTTAAATCAGCAGGAGGAGCATTTCAGCGTGTACTTCTCCACCGTTTTGTTGACGAAAGCTGACTTTTGTTGACCAAACCGTGTTATGTAGACATGATCTTACAGGAGGATTTCACAGAGCTGGGTGACTGCGTAACAAAATGGCAGATGAAATCCAATGTTGTTAAGTGCAAAGTAATTTACGTTGGAAAAAATAATCCCAACTATACGTACAAAATGAGAGGTTCTAAATTAGCTGTTGAGATTGGAAAAGAGACAATCCAGGGGGAGTATAATAGACCTCTATGAAATCATGAATGGTGTGGAAAAAGCGACTAGAGAAGTGTTATTTACCCTTTCCCACAATACAAAAACAAGGGGTCACCCAATGAAATTAATAGGCAGTGGGATTAATACAAACGAGGAAATACTTTTTCACACAATGCACAGCTAACCTATGGAATTCATTGCCATAGAATGTTAAGATGGCCAAAAGTATAACTGAGTTCAAAAAAGAACTAGATAAGTTCACGGAGGATAGATCCATCAATGACTTCATGCTCAGGGTGGCGTAAATCTGACTGCCAAAAGCTGGGAGGGGAAGACTGGAGGATCTTTCCAAAATTGCCCTGTTCTAGATATTCTATCTGAAGCTCTGACACTGGCCACTGTTGGAGACAGGATATTGGGATAGATGGACAACTGGTTTGACCCAGTATGGCAGTTCTTATGTTCTTTCATATTACAAGCAACACTATCGCCGTGTAAGGAGAAAATGCAGACTAGATTTATAACAATATTTACAACCATTACAAACCTCAGTCAAGGAGTATATAGAGAATGGATAAATGAAACAACAAGACTAAAACAGGCAAAATTGTTTAAATTCAGAAGAAAAACTTTTGTGCAGTTCTTGTGTGTTTTTTGCATCTTCACTAGCTAAACCTAAATTTTAATCAGTTACTTGTTAATCTCACCACCTTCAAAACAGGTCTTCTCCAGGGTGCTGTCATCTTATTTGGGTTCTACAGGAGCTCGGAGATGCACTCATCTCCACCACTCCTTGACAAGAATTTGCTTTGAGGTCTTGTTGCCTTCCAGTGCTCTTTCCAGTAAATTCCTGTCTGAAGTAGAAACCTAGGTAGAAATGAATGATAGATATTGTGGGCACTTCAAAAGGTTGGGGCACTTTCATAATATGTCATACCACAATGTGCCCACAGTTAACACCTATGCAGCCTCATTGAAATCAATGGGGGTTGCACACGTGTATCTGAGAGGAGATAATCCATTCAGAAGTAACTAGCAAAAGACACAAAAACTAACAGCAAAATGTAACAATCTAATTGGGACCAGGACCAGATCGGAGAATCAAAAATTCAGATAATGAGGAGAATGGGCAAAGAGCTTTCACGCCATTATTTTAAGATGCGGAGTTGCTTTTAAACCAGCTGATCCCTCCCAGAAAAAGCATTAAAATATACCCCCCCTTTTAATCTATTTAGCAGAATATACAAACCGTTAGTTCTTACAAACAATGTTTTGATTAATTTATTAACAGGAAAACCGACATGAGTATTTAACAAGTTGTATTGATCATTTTTACACTCTTTAGTCATTAACCCTGAACATTATGTCTAATGTTACAGAAGGCACCATCTCTGTTTTGCATGTTTACTTGTAACATCACAAACAGTACAATTTTAAAAAAATGCAAAAATGATAATTACAAAGCATTAAAACATAGCTCCCTTCTTTATTTACTGCCTGCACGAACAGTTATTGCTAGTGAAGAGTACCAGTTTTTAAAAATGCAGAAATGATAAATTCAAGCCTTAAAGCATAGCCCCCTTCTTTACAGTGTTTTTTAGATGAGAGGTTCTCTTCTTCATTGTGCGATCACAAAGTTGCTTCATTAACCACAGTTCAGTGGGGTTAGTACCGGGCTCTTGCGTCAAGTACGGAAGGAAGAAGTTTCCTGCTATTGCAGAATTGCAGTGAGAAATTTTTTCTGTCAATTCTTCCTTGGCAGAATCTTCAGCTTCATAATCACTGTCTGCCTGTAGTGTACAGTCTGCATGATTTCGGCATCATCCAGTAACTGATAGCCAAGGTCATTGGCTTGAAAATGATTGATGCTAATCTGCAACATCATCTTTGTCAACTTCTGTGCAGCCAGGAAGACTGTGGAGGAGGTCAACAAATGTATTGATCTCTTCTTCAGCTGCTAATGTTGCTGTTGCAGCTGCAAGTTCACTGTCCTAAGTGTTAGCAATAACTGCAGGCCACAGATTTTTTCCACAGTTTTTGTAAGATTGACCCAGGGATGTCTTTCCAGGCTTCTGCAACTCCATATATAGCATTCTCGATACTGATTTTTTTCCAGTGCTGCAACATGTTGCCTTCATTCGCAGATGCTTCATCAGACATCAGTGGTTGATTAAGAAGATGCCATTTATAGTGCCATTTTAGACTCTCCAGCACTCCTTGGTCCATAGGCTGCACAAGAGATGTTACGTTTGGAAGGAGAAAAAAACAGAAGATCGGGTCATCTTGGGAGGTAAGCCCTCCGTTGTCAGGGTGAGCGGGTGTGTTGTCTAGCAGTAAGATAGCTTTTGGTGAGATGTTTTCTTCATTCAGATGAACCCATATGCTTGGTACAAAAGTTTTAAAAAAACAATCATGAAACAAAGCACCGTCCATCTGTGCTTTTCCCTGTGATTTGTAGATGACGGGCAAAGCATCCATGAGTGCATTTTTAAGTGCACATGGATTCTTTGCTTTACCAATGACAGTTAATAGGAGCATGTATGTGCCACTGACAATAGCACAGGCCAGGATTGTTAAACATTCTTTCCTTTGTTTGTAGCCAGGCACAGGTCTTTACGTTCTGGTGTTTTTGATGGCAATATCTTCCAATACAAGCCAGTCTTGTCACAGTTATAAACTTGTTCCGGTGACAAGTTGTGCTTGGCTAAGATATCTTGTAATTTTTTTTGATAGTCAGAAATAACTCCCAAATCGGCAGACAGCTTTTCCCTGGTGACTGTTAGTTGTTGGGTGTTGTCACACTTTTTAAACTGACAGAGCCATCCCTGACTAGCAGAGAAACCAGCATCTCCTCCTAAAGCTTGATTAAAGCTCTTAGCCTTCTCAATAGTAAAGGATCACTAATAGGAATGCCTTCCTCTCTCACCACTGATAAAGGGCTTCACCTAGATCAGCGTCCTTCGGTTCCTTCATGGTCTTCCAGGATGCAGAATTCTTACACTTATTCTATGGTGCTGTATTTAAGAATTTGCTTGGCGTTGTGTTTAATGTTTGATTCTGTGTTTTTTCCAGTTCTATACTGTTGTGCTATTTTTGTCAGTGACTCTCCTTTTTTATTTTATTAATAATCTCTATTTTAGCATCCATTGACAGTAATACGTGTTTTTGCTTAGTAGTCACAGTCCTTTTACAAGGCTAAAAAGTAGTGGTGTCATGGAGGTGATGTCAGTTTGCCATATTCCTGTGTGTGTACTGGATGTTCAGTTAATATGAAGAGCTGGATAATAATGGAGGCTCGATTAAATGGGCTTCTGTTGTACATTAGAAGTAGGAAGCCTGCCAAACAATCAGTGGGGCCACTGGATGATCGAGGTGCTAAAGGAGCACTCAAGGAAGACAAGGCCATTGTGGAGAAGCTAAATGAATTCTTTGCATTGGTCTTCATTGCAGAGGATGTGAGACAGATTCCCATACCTGAGCCATTCATTCTAGGGGACAGATCTGAGGTATCAGATTGAGGTGTTGATAGAGGAGGTTTTGGAACAAATTGATAAATTAAACAGTAATTAGTCACCAGGACCAGATGGTATTCACCCAAGAGTTCTGAAGGAACTCAAATATGAAATTGCTATCCTGGTGTGTAACCTATCACTTAAATCAGTTTCTGTACCAATTGATTGAAGGATAATTAATGTGATGCCTTTTTAAAAAAAAGTCTCCGAGGTGATCGGGTCATCCAGTGAAATTACTAGGCAGGAGGTTTAAAACAAACAAAAGGAAGTACTTCTTCACACAACACACAGTCAACCTGTAGAACTCATTACTAGGGGTGGTTGTGAAGGCCAAAACTATAACTGTATTAAAGAATTAGATAAGTTTATGGAGGACAGGTCCATCAATGGCTGTTAGCTGAGATGGCCAGAGATGCGATGCCATGCTTTCAGTGTCCCTAAGTCTCTGACTGCCTGATGCTGGGATCGGGCAATGGGATGTATCACTCATTTTGCCCTGTTCTATTCATTCCCTCTGAAGCATCTGGCACCAGCCACTGTTGGAAGGCAGGATACTGGGCTAGATGGACCATTGGTCTGACCCAGTGTGGCCATTCTTATATGTGTCATTCTTCCTTGGTAACTCCAGGTATAATAGTTGTCAAGTTGCTCCGATACAGCTGTGGTGAGACAGGATAGAGCTTATAACATATGTTCAAAGAAAGTTAAAGATGTGCAAATAAAATTAATGTAGGCAAATTTCATTTACTTCAGCAATGTCTGCTAAATGGATGCATATGGTATAGTTTCCATTACCTTGGCTCACATCCTGTGGACAGTTAAGCATGTACATAACTCTATTTGTGAGCGGTCTTGTAGAAAAATTATGCATGTGCTTAAGAGTTTGTAGGATCTTGGCCTTAGTCTTAATTTGTAGTTTGGAATTTTTGTACCAAAATAAACAAAAACAATTGAAAAGAGAGGAGCCTCGCAATCCATCACAGAGAAAAACTATATAAGGATTAAAAAAGATCAAAATGTTTTTTTAAAGGATGCACAATAAGACTGCCAGAACAATTCAAGAAACTAAAAAGTAGATTAGGTGCTGCTCCCAACACAGATAAAGGTAGATAACCACATCAATCAGGAAGAACCATAGCTTCATAAAACAATCCAAATGTTGGTTTAAAAAAAACCTCCTTAAACTATGGTGGTTATTGATTGATATAGCTTTCTATCTGTATTATGTGTTTGGGTGTATAAACCCCACATTGCGCCAGGCAGAAAGAGACTACTGTGGCCTGCAGATATGTTGCTCTTTGCTGTTCCCTTGAAGACCAAAACACTTGCCATAAATGTCAAGATTTGAGTGAGGATCCTATGGCTGAAGGGAATAAGTAGGATGGGATCAAGATATAAAAAGAAAAAAAAACAGGCTTTGAGAGATGGTTTAGGGAAGCTGTCTACTATGCTTGAAAGGAAACGGATATCAGTCTGCCTGGGAGAGAGAGAGAGAGAGCAGGGAGGGAAAGGGGAAGCTTAGGCTACAGACTGTTTATCCACGTGAAGTACAGCCAGAGTGGCCAGGTCTTTCTGAGGAAAAGGAAGAACCTGGAGACCAGCAGTATGTGAGATTGTGTCCCTTATTAATGTGTGCAAACTGTTTGTGTGAACATCTGGTGAATGGGAGAGATTTTCCAGGCCTCCTTGAAGGATAAAGAAAGTCAGGAAGCAGATTAGAGGAGCTTGAACATAGGCTATCATCTTTCTGGAACTAATCCCAATCCGTACCTGGTGTGGGATGGTGAACACTTACTGATTCTTTGGGTTGCTGTTTAAATGAGAGGGTGTTTTCCTACCTCATCCTGAGGTGTATTATTTCTGACTTCTGCTGTGGTCAGTTGGTACTCTCCTAATATGACTCATGTGTAAGACTCTCCTTGTGTGTGTTTTGGGTGTGTTTTTAAAATTTATCATTTGTATAATGCGTTGAGATCTGTAAGGAGCCTATTGCACATACAAGATAATGGGTCCTTGCCCCAAAGAATTTCTAATCTAAATAGAAACCCTACAGATAATAGAAAGGAGGAGGGAAGGAAAAGTATGCAACATGTAATTTGCTCTTGTCAAATAATTTTTTAAAAAACAGAGCAATATGCCCAAAGATATGTTACTGACTCTTTCTAGGTTGGTGGGGTTATATTACAGCATGGTGCTTTCTGTGGCATCATAGTGCAGTGGGAACAGAGGCAACCCAATATTTCAAGTGACCTAAAATGTTGGCGCTTCAGTATATTTGCATGGCTGCTCCTCATGGCCTAGTTAGTGGAAGGCCTATTGCACTTTTGTGAAGTAAATGCCATTGGCCAAATTCATCCCTTGTGTAACACTATTGAATTCAGAGATAATTTTCCCATATGAGCCTTATTTGTAGATCACCTTTCAGGCTTCCGTGAGGTGCCTGGGAAAGATCTGCATGATATAAAGTTCTAGTTGATCTGAATACTAAACAGTTCTTAGAAGTAGTAATCTGCATGCTCAGACAAGATCTGGGCTGAATTGTCCTACAATGAGATCTTTACTTTTCCCATAATTTAAGAACTGTATTACTTCTGGATTTGATTATGGCAGCTGTGAAATATGCCTAGGCATCTTTGGACCATGGAATGGTACAAATATATTGATGTAACATTATATGGGAAGAATTGGGAGGCAATAGTTCAAAATTATATTGAGCATTATAACAAGTATTTTAACTGTGAGAAAATGGGTTGGGCAAGTAGTGCAGTGATTGGCTATGCCCTGTGGTGGTCTAGTAAAACAGCACAAGTAAGAACGTGTTAGCCTACCTATGTAATGTTACACCCAGTTTCAAAACCAAGGGAGAGAGAAATTAATTATGTAGAAGAACAAAACAAAGCACAGTATCTTGAATCTTTTTAATTAGTTAGTGGGCTACAAAAGATTAATGTCTGGGAAGACCCATCTGGGATCAGGAAAAAGAGTATGTGTTGGAAGAACAAGCTAAATGTATATTTAGGTTTTTAACTTCTGCAGTTTTGAACTAGAATGGTTTAAACAGAATTTGGCTGAGCCACTTACTGTTTGCAGCTCAGAAAATAAAAAAATCAAAGAGAAACATTTAATAATTCTTGCATGTAGCAGCCTGACTTGGCTATTACCTATAATCCATCTCTCTACAGTCAAACTTCTTCTAAATTAGTAAAATTTACCTAAGATTTTACTCACCCTGGATTACTGTTTTAGCGTTCAATCCTTCAAACACTTATGTACATTTTTAATTTTACTGTGGTGAGAAGTCGCATAGAAACCAATGTAGCTACTCACTTAAGCCCAGTTAGTCTGTATCCGCAAAAAGAAGAACAGGAGGACTTGTGGCACCTTAGAGACTAACAAATTTATTAGAGCATAA